TTTTCAAACCCCCTACCTTCCAACCCCCCTACCTCCAACCCCCTACCTCCCAACCCTCCACTTCCCAACCCCCCTACCTCCCAACCCCCTCCGCTCACCACGTGATGTGTCAGGGTGTAGTTCTTCACGTCGAACGTCTCTGTGCGGGATCGGGAAGATAGGGTTCGGGAAGAGAGGGTTCGGGAAAAGAGGGTTCGGGAAGAGAGGGTTTGGGAAATGGAAACGAAAAACCGGGAGGTGTGTGTGTGTGTGTGTGTGTGAGGGGGGAGAGGCCAAGGTATAAGGACGTTTCCGTTTTAAACCTTCATCCCGCCAATGAACAATTTCGAATACGAAAATCAATAAAACGCTTCCCCGGAATGTGACGCGGGCATCGTACATAAATATCTCTGTCTAATAAGAAAATCAATAAAGTATTTGAAATTAATAAAAAGAAGAGAGAGGAATAAGGCGAATCGGGCGCGAAAGGGCTGCTCCTGCTCTTTCCAAATAATCTCAAGCAGTGATTTTTTTCATTTAGGGCGGGTCTCAATTTATTCCGACCTAAGTAACAAAGTTGCTAGGGTCGCCGTAATGTATTCCGTAAGTGTGGGGCGCTGGGGGGGGCTACGCCCCCCCCCAGACCCCCCCCGATAAGTTACGACTCCCCTCATAGACCAAGATTCACGCACTGAGTTGGCGCGTTTTCGTCCATGTGCGCACTCTTCATATGCACATGCATAGATAGTTCTGGCACTGTTTGTGAGCAATAAGTAAATCCGACCAAGCAAAGGCCTTTATCAGGAAAATTTTCAGGCTTATCTTGCTGTTTTGGTGTTTGTTCGACGTTCGAGTCGTTGCCTTTTGCGTGTTTGGCTATGCGAGGACCGGTCATACATTCTGCTATGCCGCGTTGACTCACGGGCTTGACCTTCTTACGGCCCCTCATATCTATTCTATGATCGATAATACCAAGTTCTGCACACTACGGAGCAATCTTGCAGCAATGGACGTTTTTGGCTGGAGGAATGAAAATGTACGGATCGGCCTCAATTCATTCCTTTTTTCCAAAGGCCAAAATGGCCTCTTTATTCCTTATAAGGAATATATTACTTAAAAAAAACACTGATCTCAAGACGTATGAAAAATCACAAAACATGCCTAACTAGGCAATGCCTTTGCCGAGGTCCGCCAGGCCTCGCGAAGACAGATCTCTCCGCAACGAAGCAAACAACAAACAATACAGCTGAACAGAAGTCACACAGGACCGGATTCAGTCACCCGATTCATGTCAGCGGCAGCGACACCCGACCGGGAAGCCGTACGACCCCGCCCCCCCACACACGCCAGCAGCAGCGCAAGTCCGCCAGCCGGAACCCAACGGCTTCCCCCTCCCCCACTTTCTTCTTCTCGGCCCTCCTCCACCCGAAAGTGTGTGTACGACCCGTACCTGGGGCCATGTAGGCTGGCTGTGCGGGGGGCACAGCATTAGAGGGGGAGGGGGAGGAGGAGGGGGAGGAAGGACACCGGAGGGGGGGGCGGGGGGGGCAGCAGGTTAGCCGTGGGAGTAACACAACTTCATACTTGAACCATTTCCCATTTGACATCACCTTCACGACAGCTTCCATACACTCCCCCAATCATCCTTGCCCGTACAGTCCGTACAGCTTGTACACACCGTCGCGATGCTCTCACCCATTAACCTCTCCCCCTTATCGGCCTCTCCTGCAGTCCCCAGAGCTGCCGTTGGACGTCGTTCGGCGGTTTTGGCCATTTTCTTCATCATTTTCAACATCGTTTGGTTTCCACTCACCCACCCTCTCTCTCTCTCACTCACACACACACACACACGCACACACACATACACACACACACACATTTCCCCCACCCTTCTCCCGGCCCTCACCGTCCCCGCCTCAGGGTGCTTGGTAATGAGGACGGTGCTGCGGAGACGTGACACTCCGAAATCCTGTTGGGAATGTACGTGAGGGCGGGCGGGAGAGGGCGGGAGAGGGCGAAATAGGGAGAGGGTGAGAGAGGACACACACACACACACACGCGTCGTCCTCCCCTTTTTTCCCCCCACGTGAAGAGGGTTTAGCACCCGGATGGTAGGTAGCTGGATAGGTAAAGGGGAGCGGGGGAGAGGGGAGAGGGAGAGAGGGGGGATAAGAAAAAGTAAAGGACCAGGCGATTTGATTCCCAGCGCGGAACACCCCCTCCTTTGATGACCACATCTTTATCGAACATCTCAACACTCTGACTCCGGCCGCCGCCATTCGCCTTCCCGCTCTCCGCCTTGCATTCTTTCTTTTTCCTTGCATGCAATTCACCTTCTCACCCCCCTCCTCTTCCCCCCCGTCCCTCTCCCCCCCGTCCCTCTCCCCCCCCGTCCCTCTCCCCCCCGTCCCTCTCCCACCCGTCCCTCCCCCCCCGCCCTGTGCACGACCCCAACCTCCCACCGTTATCTTGGCAACCGGCCGCGGGGAGGTGGGTCCGTTGATCAATACATTGCCCGGCTGTACGGCAGGGAGGAGGGAGGGATATCATGCATGCGAGGATATCCCACTGAGGGAGCGCAGCTGGTGACGCAAGATGAAGGGGGGGAGTGGGGGAGTGGGGAAGGGAGGAAAGAACCCGGAAACCATGTATTGATACGATGGGCTGTGCCCTAAAGAGATTCCCAAGGTTTGATATTTTGACCCGGGGTGTTGGAGCCAAAAAAGGAACGTCCTCAGGGATTGCGGAGTCGAGACATACATACATACATACATACAATAGGCAGGCGGCTGGCAGAGGTTAAGGCCTGACTTCTGCTCCCAGTTGACCCAGTCGACCCGGGTTCAAATCCGCCTGCCGGCTCCTCGGGTGTTTGAGGAGTGATGAAATGGGAGGTGGCCCCCCATCTTATGGACGGTGTAGGACGTGATAATATCAACTTGCGAGCTGACCAGGAACTAAGTTGATGCGCCGTTGATCCGCTAGATTTGGTTGGATGCTGGTGGTGAGTTGCCGAACCCAACGAATACATTCTGAAGTCGGATGGGGTGACGGATTAGGGTGCCCCTCTAGCAGGGGAGAGCAGGGACTGCCCCGGGAAAGGGGGCCGCTGGCGAAGTTAACCACCCTGTAACAACATACATACATACAGACATGGAACCAGGAAATGATGTGCTGGTGCTCTTTTCGATGTTGTGTATGCGCCGTACCCTATACCTCTACTCCCCTGGCCCATATCCTGTCGTGACGTGAGAAAATGAAATTCCGTACTGTGCCGTACACACTCCCGTGTGTCAAGCCTCTTTCTAAATCCCATATCGCTTTTTTTGTCCACTACTCAATGCATTCGTACATTGAGATCTCGTAGTCGGTACATTCCCCACCTTGAGATCTCGGTGCATGATGGTGGGATGCAGGTACTCCAGGCCCTTGGCAATGTCCAGCGCAATGCATAGCACCTGTCGTACACAATGTCGTACAGTATGCAGTACAACACGCAAGGCAACATCGCGCACAGCGACGGTTTCAGCTGTCATCCATAATCCATAATGACAGCTCCCAACACCCCCGTAAAAAACTATCCCAATAATTCAAAATTCAAAATGCACGCAGATGGTACGGCCATACAACAGGGATGCACAGTATTGCAGCGCGATACGTCATTGTGCTTTTTGTGTCATTCTACCCTAAACCCCTAAAACCCAAAACTCTAATACCCCTGACGTTATTCACGTCTCCCCTCCCTCCCCATCCCCCAAAGTACACGCGCACCTTCTGCAGCGGCAGCAGCTCCCGGTCTTTGTTGTACACCAACTGTTCCAGGCTCGTTTCCATCAGCTCCATCACCAAGAACAGCTTGGGTGGCGTCAAGCACGCCGCCAGCAACCGTACGACATTAGGATGGCAACACCGCCCCAACACCTCGACTTCCTGAGCAAAGCTGTTGAGCACTTGTTCCAACGCTTTTTTGCCGGACGCCTCACAGAGGTCTCCCACATCTCTCATCACCTTAACCGCCACCTTCTCGCCGCCGTACAGTCCCTCGTACACTCGTCCAAACGCCCCCTTGCCGCGCACCACCGGAAGCAACTTTACCTCCGCCGCCGCCGCCTCGCCTAGCGCCAGGTCCTGCCGTGGCGGCGTAAGCGCCGTTACGACGACATGCTCGTCTTCAGGGAAAAGCAATGCCGTGGTTGTTGTTGCCGGCGGCGGCGGCAGCGGCCGCCGCTGCTGGCTGCTGGTTCCGGAGCTAGAAGGCCCGCCATCGCCGCTGCGAGTCAGAAGATTGTCCGTCTGCTCCGAAATGCTCGGAGTGAACTGCCCGCCTCCAGCACCTCCTGGTACGACACGCCGTGGGGGAAGCCGTTTTCGACCTTAGGGTTATATGATCGGATCGGACCTTCTGCGAAGTACATAGAATCTTGAGAAGAGAAGCTAATTAGGAACCAGCTTGACAGGCAACTTTACCTGCACTCCCAGTCTGTGCCCCTTCCGAACCGCCGCCGCTGCCGCCGCCGTCGCGGCCCGCCTGCCTGGGCTCCGCTTCCGCGACCTTCGTCCCCGCCGCCTCAAGGGCGTCTTCGCCTGCCGCTGGCCCGGGCCCGGGCCCTGTCCCTGTCCCCACGCCTTCCGCCGTCAAAGCCGCATCCCTTTCGACGCCGCGACTGTACCCCTCTTCGCTTGGGCTGGCGGAGGCGCTTCCGCCGCCGCCGCCGCCAGCGACGCTATCGCAAGCTGCGCCCGTGTCAGTGGAGCCGCCAGTGGCGGCTCGCATTGGCGCGCCCTTAGCTGCTGCGGCGGCGGCGGCGCCGCCGCTGCCGCCAGTGCCTGCAGATGCGATCGCATCGAAGGAACATTGGGACCCGTTCTCCAGAGCCATCCGCCGCTGGCGATGCCGTACAAAGAGGAATCCCCCCGCCACAGCCGCCAGCAGCAGCGCCGCGCCTGCATGGTCGACCAACACCATCGCCGTGTATCGATCAGGTGCATAACTGACTGGGCAATAACTCTGGTGCAATCACTGGTACAAAATACATAAAGACTGGGCAAAGCGTACACACGCAGCTCAGCTGCTGTCAACAGAAACCAACAAGCGCGCGCGCGCGCCGTTCACACAGACGAGCCGCGCAAGTCCAGCCGTCCTCCAACACCCCACTGCGGCCACTACCTGCGACCGCACCGCCGATGGCACCTGCCCTCGCGGGCCCGCTTAGGGAGGCGCGGCCGCCGCCGCTGTCTCGCCCCACGGCCGCCGCCGACGCTGACGTGGGCTCCAGTTGCCGCCACGGCAGCAGCACCTGCCCCGGCAGCCTATTCTGACTCATCCAACCCATGCATCCATGCACGCCGCCACGGTCGAGGAGGCAATCGTCATTCATGACATTGGCGCAAATGTACGATACGTTGTGCAGGACAATGTCGTACTGAGAAGGAATTTCATTTCTGTACTTATCCATGTGCGTGCCGGGCAGCGCCACGTCCACAAGCACGCCCCGGTCGGCCCAGCAGCGAGACATGAGCGGCGGTTGTATCACAAAATCGCTAAGAGTTGGCAAGGAGGTGCTGGTGTTGTTGGTGTTGTTGGTGTTGTTGGTGTTGTTGGTGTTGGTGTTGGTGTTGGTGTTGGTGTTGTTGGTGTTGTTGGTGTTGGTGGTGGTGGTCGTGGTGGTGGTGGTCGTGGTGGTGGTGGAGGTGGAGGAGGTGGTGGTGGTGGAGGAGGAGGTGGAGGAGGTGGTGGAGGTGGTCATATTGGCACAGGCAGGTTGAGAAACGGCCAGTTTGAAGGTCTGTGTGCCAGGTCTTGAGGTTGCGCGAGGCGCACCAACCAAGGACAGGTTCCAAGTGAAAGCTGGTGAGCAAAGCGCTGCGTTGAGGAGTTGTTGTTTAGGTGCATAAGGGCGGTGCATAGTTATGGCATGAAATAGCATGAAAGGTGCGGTGTTGGCTGGCGTGCTGCCGTGGTCGTGTGGTGGTCGTGTGATGCGATTCGCGAAAGCCCCCTGGTAGGGCGTTTCGGGGCATTTCTTCTCCGAGCGAGGGAGCCTTAGAGGCCCATCGCTTTGTGGTATCGTCATGATGCCGGTAGGTGATGACGTTGCGGATTGCGATCCGGAAGTTATGTGTGTGAAAAAATGTCAAGGCGGGGTGTGATAGCGGCACGTTTGATGTCGAATCGCCGGGGGGGCCATTGATGCTTGGAAAGGGGCTTCTATGATGGTATGTTGACGCTATGGATGGATAAGTGCGGGGTTGGTCCTGCTGGGTATTTAAATGTGTATGTATGTATGTATGTATGTATGTATGTATGTATGTATGTATGTATGTATGTATGTATGTATGTATGTACACCGGAAAGGGTTCAAGCGTTCTATACCATCGCGGCAAACAGAGAGCTTACCGTACAGCAGCGCTGTCTCGTCATGTACAATTACTCCCGGCTGTGTGTCGTATGCATTGAACGTCGTGGGCGCCGCCAAATCGAAGCCGAGGCTCTGCCGATAAAAGTAAAAAAAACAAACAGTAATGCAATTAAACGGTCAGAATTCCGCTTTATTTTAGCTTGATCCCTTAGCAACGGGAAATAATCCCATCATGTCATAAAACAGTGCGATTCCATTATAAGTTGGATATAACAACAATTTTTTTATGAATATAAAGTGAGGAAAACTACCGGCCGCAGCGAAAGAAAAGAGCTGTAGATCCGATGATGGAAGAAGACGCGACGCAGGCGCCTGCCTTGCGCTAAATACAAAGATATGGTGCCAATACAGGAAGATAAGAACCAGTCTTTGCTGCATTCACCTGAAGTTAGGGAGACAAAGAGCCGCCCGTAGCAGTTAGATCTTAAATCTATACTACTAGCTAGCATATATCGACAGACAGACAGACAGACAGACATATCAACAACCGTGCACTCGCTGACGCAATCGGCGGACCAACAAAAACCTCGTTATCAGCATTGAACACACGGCCCCAACCACCCACCTGTTACCACGCACGCACCCACCGCCTCTCCCCATCCCTCCCCCCCGCACCTGGGTGCCGTTCTTATCCCCAAAGTCCCCCAGCAAGAGGTGCCGTACAGTCACCGTAACTCCGCTCGCAATCCGGATCTTGTCGTACACAAATCCCATGTTGAGTAGCGGCCAGCTGTCCCCCAGCTTTGCGCTGCCGCTCAGGGTAAGGCTCCGGCTCAGCAACGCCGGCTCCGAAACCGCTGCAGAACCGCTGCCGCCGTCCGAGACCTCCCATAACAGCCCCTCCCAGTCGCTCTCACGCATCCAAATGTCCCGTTCCAAAACCACCTCCGCCACCAGCGGCGCCGCCGCCAACGCCGCCGCCAGCTCCCGGCCGCTGTGCACCGAAACCACGGCCTCCGGACCCGCCGGCAGCCGCCACGGTAACTGGGCCTTATCATTCGCCACCATCGATAACGCACACGCCAAGGGGTTCTTCAGGCGGGCCATGCACTCATCCGTGATCACGCGCGCGCACATGTACGTCACATTGAGCAGTACGACATCGTAGTTATTGGGTACGGTGGCGCGCCCGGCGGTGGCCACGTCAGCGCCGGGGACAGCTACATCGATAAAGACGCCGCGGTCGGCCCAGCACCGGTCTTGGAGGCGAGGTTGGAGCGCAAGGCCCCGAGAGGGTGGATAGAGTGCGGGTGTGGCTGTGGAAGGCGTGATGTTGACGCAGCTGGTCTGGGTAACGTTCAGTTTGTAGGTGTGGATGCCCGGGCGTGATGCAGCTCGAGGACTTGTACTTAAGCCGCGTGTCCAAATGCCGACTGGCAGGCAGACGCCTGGAGGGGGTTGGAAGCGAGTACGGATGATAGTGTGCGTATGTATGTATGTATGTATGTATGTATGTATGTATGTATGTATGTGCTTAAAGGACCGGACATGATGAGATAGATATAGCTTGGAAAACGTGTAACATGCGCACTGGGTTTTGGGAGTTCAGGTGGTGGGTGGGATAAAGAAATATGACACGTCGGTGCAAAACACAAGAGCATTCACCGGGGCGGGGGGCAGCCTCCAGGCAGAGATCACGGGCGCGAGAGTTACCGTTAGAAAACAGAGAACCGGGACATTTCCCTACTCAAATCAACACATATATACATACACAGGTACACACACCTCCCGGAGCATTTCTGTTTTTGCGCTTAATACCTTCGTGAAGGCGCGTTTGTGTTTTCTCATCACCTCACAAAGCGCCCCCACCGCGGCAACCCGTCCACCGTTACATTGTCCTCTTTCTTTCCCGCAACCGCCCCCCCCCGGCCCCCATCACCCTCACTCAGACCCCTCCCCTCCCCTCCCCTCCCCTCCCCTCCCCTCCCTTGAGCCCTCCCCCACAACTCATGAAGCATAATTGCGGTTTCCCCCTCTTCCCCATGATTAGATACATACATACATACACACGACGCACTCCACTCACTGTACATCACTGCCGTCTCGTTGTGCATCAAAACGCCAGAGGGGCCCGAAGGGAACGACGGCGCCGCTAGGTCGAAGCCGGGAGCCTGAGGACATAACAAGAAACTAACTAACGGTCATAACGGAAGCCAACGGTCATAACGGGAAACGGCCTTACATGCAGCTTTAATGAGCTTTAATGCAACGCATCGGGGGTGACGAACACAAGGCGAGTATGATGGCCATGCTGAAGGCAGGTAATAACGGTCACAACGAACCTAACGGATAAAGTCTCGTTTTAACAAAACGCTAAATCTAAAACCGGCACTGCACCGTCTGCGCACTGCGGAGTGCCACCTGCCCATGTGCAGCGGTCAGCCTGGATACATCAAACGGTCGTTTTAACCTCCTAAACCAACAACTACCCTTCCACAAACATCACAACCACGAACATCACCACGAGCAGGACGAGAAATTGGCGGCACACAAGCAATCTAAAACGACCCAGGATACAATGAACCTAGGATACCGCATCCAATCAGACGAGACCTCTTGCTTTGGGTCACCGTCCCCTTCCATGACCCACTTGAGTCGCATGTCCCGCTCTGGATGTGCACGTCGCCAGCTCCCCGCCATCCCCCCGGCTGCGGGAGAGATAGCAGGCGCCTATACCCCCCAAACACACACACACACACACGCGCACAGGGCCTTACCCCCAAAGCCTTCCAGTCCCCCCCGTCACCCCGCTGCGGAGCAGAGCCCCAGCCCCCCGGGCCCAGCACGGCCGAGCCCCAATCACCACCACCACGATAGCACCAGGAAAGGGGGGATCCTCCCCACCCCACCCCACCCCCACCTGTGTTAGGATATCGCTGCGAAAGTCCCCGACTACGACATGTCGTACAGTGAGTGTGACACCGTTCCCGATACGGACCTGGGATCCATATCGCAAGGTTAGAAAACAGTTGGGTGGTTGGGCGCAACGATACAACGTACAAACTTGATCGGGCGTTGTCATGCAGCAAATGGATGCCTCTTGGTTGACCGCGATCAACGCGTCTGCTGGAGGGGTGCTTTAGCTGGCTGGGAACCATTGGGTGAGGTCTTGCCCCTCTTGGGTGGTATCGGGGGTTAACGGCGGTTATGCGGTTACGGTTACGGTTACAATCGGCCATGGTTACAGGGTGACGAGAACTGTTCATTAAGTAATACCCCCATGTGAACATACAGTAGTAGTTGTCATGGGTGGCAAAAGGGTTATAATCCAGAGTTTGAGTTTGAGCTGGGCTTTTTGGGAAGATGCTGTTCCCAATGCTGTTCCCCGGGGAGAGACTTTTTGGAAGGGTTGCGAAGACGCCTGGACATCAGGCGCGTTGGAACACATAAAGATAAGTTTCAACAGTTACATGTACTGAAGGCTGCGACATCAGTCCAAAGGCCTCACTCGGGAGCTTTTTTTCATGCGTGCAAAGGTTCGGGGGGTTTTCACGGACGCGAGTTCGGCTGTTGAGGACGCAATAGCAGCGACGTTGATGAAGGCACATGTGGGTTTAACTTTGACTCAATGCCGTTTAAATCAGCGATACATATTTGTCTGGCAACTTCTTTATGGGGCATTCCAGGTCGCCATCATACCTTGACGTGGACGAATCCCATGTTGAGCAGTGGCCATTTTGGAAGGTTTGGGCTGCCAAGAATAGTGAAGTTTCTTTTCAACAGGATAGGTTCGCTACCATTCAGCAAGCCATCCCAGTCTGTGTCCAGCATCCACACGTCCGCAAGGATAATTGCTGTGTCGATGCGCGCGGCAGACGCAAATGCAACTGCCAAGTCCCTTCCGCTGCGGACCTCCATGTACGCGGTGCGGGCATCGCTGCCCGTGCCCTCAAGTCGACAGGGCAGGAAAGCGAGAAGCGTCAGAAGAAACCAAGAACTCGCAAAGTTCATTGCTATTGATGCGGACCGAGTAGACGTTCGTTAGTCATAACATATAATCCTTTACTCCTATAAGTTGTACTCCTGCGCAGCAAATGCCATTTGGCGTGCATATCTTTGCAACAGAAGGCCAGATACCTTCCAACGCAACGTTAAGATATTCAGTTAGTGTACTGAAAGCAACAAATGCTCATGGCCTTAAAAATGGCATGGGGACATGGGTTAGGTTGGCAAACCGTGTACGAACCCGTACGGACTCTCCTACCTTACAGCCCAACATTTTTTCATTTCCAGTCTTCCCCTTCCTCCTGAGCCTACAGCCCATGGGCCCTTGGACTGTCTTGGCCCTACGGACATGGCATCACCTTTACCCACACCACAGCCACTACCGCACCACCATTAACACACACTAACTAATTTACCGTTGTGGGGTCGCGTACACACGGTGATCTTACGGGCCCCCGTAAGATAGTTTCATGGTAGACCTAAACACGTATCTGTGGCAGTGGATTCCTGGCGAAAATGGCTAGACATGGGAATTGGCCGTGTAATACACAAGCAGCCCATACCGCGGCTTGGTTTGATAGTGTTGGATATTGCACTTCTGCACTACCGAGAGTGGTACTGAGCTAATGTCAGCCCAAGGACGTGGGTTGCAGGGTGACTTTGCTGAGGCCCTGCGCTAGCAACAGGTAAATCGCTCACATGCATGTACGGCATAAGCTTAAACTTATTTAGACACCCACAAGTGATGGCCAGGCCGAGTACATAATTATGTTGTTGTTACATGGTCGTGGGTGCGTTCCCCGTACCTGCAAACCACCCTAGTACGAGCCGAGGGCTCAAGGGCTGCCAAATCGCCTATAAGCACCATCCTACCTCGCACTTCCAACGAAACAAGTGATGAAGTATACTAACGACCAAAGGGAACGATAGAGTTACAGTGGGACCATATGCGTTCCAGCATCCTTGCCAGGCGTTCAGGTTCCCACTTCGTAGCATCCTTCATATGCTCGAAGCGTGGGAAACCCATATCAGATCTGATTTTGTTGTACACCGGACAGTCCATCAAAATGTGTTTCTCGTCCTCGATATGGCTATCGGTGCCGCAGCAAGGGCATACTCGCTCCTCCCTAGGTGTATAACGCTGTCCCTTACACGCCCTGTTAGCCACCAATGCCCAACAGCAAAGCCTAAACTGCATAAGCTTGCGATTCGCCGAACGCGGGATAAACATTGCGATATGCGGGAGCACCTCCTTCCTGCCCGCTTGCTCGGCTGCCAGACCCATCCAATGCTTATACTTCGCCATGTGGATTCCTGGTTGCTTGCTGTCTGACGGGTACACGTCAGGCTGGACATCTAAACGCGTATGCTTCCAACCACCCGCTAATCGGTCCTTGAACTCCAAAATCACACCTTCTGGCACCACCCTCAAACCCCATGTCGTACCCTAAAATTTCTAGTATCCTGACAACCTTAGATCCCCAGCCATCGTGACATAAGGAAGAAGCAAAGGCCAAACGAAGCTCTTCCCGAAAACAATGATGATACACCGAGCCTTTAGCTTCTACCAGTCGGTTCCAAAAACGGAAGATTAGGTTCGCCCAGTGTACTTGTAATGGGTACTGCCCCAGTTCCTTGAACAGTAGCCGGTTGGGAGGCACCCCCGCCCCAGCCAACTGCTTCAGGAAGGATTTCTGCAGACCAACCATCTTATCCTCCAGCGCATAATTAACATAACATGACCGGTGTTCTTGACCTCTAGGGAAGCCTCGTTCCAGGACATGTAGGACCCTCATCGGGCCCCAGACCTGTACCACGTAAGACAGGATGGATCATACTTGTGCATCGAAGGCTTTGACAGCAACAGCTGGCACAAACAGGCCCTGTCGCCTAAGCTTGGTGACCAATGAGAAGAGCGCCCGTTGTCCAGAGGCATGAAGTTCATCACGACAGGACTCAAACAGGGTGCCCGGGCCATAATGAAGGCCCAAGTACCGTGTACAACCCTTCCACTGTAAGCATTTACTCACATGTGCACCCCGTGACCATCATGGGGACAAGCCTGTACTCGCCCAACTTGTACATCGCTTTGCTGGCATGCATGTCATGGTGAAAAAACAGGACCTCACATTTTCCTGTATTAACTTTCATACCAAACGCTTCACACCACTCCCTCAATGCACGCAGCAGTGCCATGAGCCATCTGTGCGAGATAGCAAAGAGGCTTAGGTCATCAGTGAAGAGCATAAGTGGGATTCGCATACCATCGCTCTTGGGACAATCATGCGTGGCCATTGCATCAGGCGCAAGGCGGTCCTTGGCTTCCATGTAGTCTGCAAAACCTTCCCCGAAAATGCCGTACAATGTGGGGCTCAACGGACATCCCTGCTTGACCCCTTGAAACGAGAAAAAGGAGTCTCCCAGCACCCCGTTGACATTGACCTTGAGTTCTACCCTCCGGTAACAAGCCTTCAGAGCATCCAGCGTGGCACCCGTCACCCCTCTCTCTTCCAGCCGCATCCATAGAAGATCCCTAGGGACCTTGTCAAAGGCCTTTTCAAAATCCACCTGACACACGAAAAGGGGTTTCCCAGTATTCCGCTTAGTCTCCCTAAGACGCCTCCCTATATCTCCCTAAGACGCCTCCTTATCCCCGAGGGGGCTGGTATCGCGGTGCACGCCCCGTCTATCACCCGACGGGGAGGGCAGCTCTAACCCACAGCATGTGGGGGCCCTCCAACTGGGCTAAACGTCAGCAAGACGCCTCCTTACCCCCGAGGAGGGGGCCGATATCACGGTGCACGCCCCATCTATCGCCCGACGGGGAGGGCAGCTCTAACCCGCAGCGTGTGGGGGCCCTCCAACTGGGCTAAACATCAGCAAGACGCCTCCTTATCCCCGAGGAGGGGGCCGGTATCGCGGTGCACGCCCCGTCTATCACCCGACGGGGAGGGCAGCTCTAACCCGCAGTGTGTGGGGGCCCTCCAACTGGGCTAAACATCAGCAAGACGCCTCCTTATCCCCGAGGAGGGGGCCGGTATCGCGGTGCACGCCCCGTCTATCGCCCGACGGGGAGGGCAGCTCTAACCCGCAGCGTGTGGGGCCCCTCCAACTGGGCTAAACATCAACAAGACGCCTCCTTATCCCCGAGGAGGGGGCCGATATCACGGTGCACGCCCCGTCTATCGCCGGACGGGGAGGGCAGCTCTAACCCGCAGCGTGTGGGGGCCCTCCAACTGGGCTAAACGTCAACAAGACGCCTCCTTATCCCCGAGGAGGGGGCCGATATCGCGGTGCGCGCCCCGTCTATCGCCCGACGGGGAGGGAAGCGCTGAACGCTGGAAAGGCAGGCCGCCGGCTCGTGGACAAGGCAGGTACGACCCAACAGAGGGCAACGCGGAGTAGTCCCTCCCAGAAAACACTGACAGCCGCACTAAGCAGGGCAAGCCGCACTACAAGTCGGCCTCTACACGACACGCATGCAAGGAGCCAACGGGGACGGGGCGCACAAGCAACCCCTTATGGAACTCACGTTGGGCAGTGACGTCCGCCTGTCGTTGTGCGCCGGCCGCCGTGAATGTTGTGGTTGATGACGCGGTTGGCATGACTGTTGAAGGCTGACTGGTCGGACGCCAGGCGCTGTCCTCCTGCCGCCTTGAACATCGATCCCCACTCCGGCACGGTGTACAGGACGTCCTCCCTCCCTCGCTGGGGGCAGCGAGCGCTGCGTCGTCCTCGCCCACACTTGGGAGGGGGTGCCAGCCTTGCAGCGGAATGCCGGAGACGAGCTGAAGTTTACGCTCTTGGATCGCCAGCCGAGCGGCGTCGCGAGTCTTCAGGTCGGTAACGGACGGGTTGGCTCGAAGGAGTCTCGAACGCTGTGACTCATGCTTGTGCGGGATGGACTCGAGTTTGGCTGTGTGGGCATCCTTGGCTGATTTTGAAGCCCGAGCGGGCAAACGCTGCTCCTGCTGGCCGAGGTCTGTCGCCAACGCCTCGTCGATAGCCAAAAGCTGATCTTTTACCCGCTGCAATATGTACAATTCATCCGATGAAAGCGGTGGGAAGGAGACCAGCTCTCGGTCGCAGTCAGCGGTCGTGCGCAGATGGTCAAAGGGCGACATGGCTACAGCAACCAACACCAGACGAACTGACGAAATGAATTGAAGATTAATAAGACACGAAAGGACAAGAAAGTCGAAAGAAAGGTCGCCAGACCCACACCGCTGACCAACGGACAATAACAGCGGCGGCTAGCAGCTGTTCTGGTAAAGAGAGCTCGTATCAACCAGCAGCCGAGCCCGAGATCACCAGGAAGATAATTAGACAAGACGAAACACCACCGAGCAAACAGCAGCTCAATACAACAACCAACCAACCGCACCGTACGACGCCGCTCTGACGCCCCTCTTCAAACCACATTTTCGACTACGCCTAAAATAGGATCTTCATGGAACGCTGCGCTGCCGTTGCCAGTCTCATGTCGTCTGGAGAATCCCGCTGCGGCGCTGCTGCTGATCCGTTCCTCCATCACCTTGAGCCTGTTGTCGAGACCAGACACGCTGGTTTCCAGGCCAGCGACTCTGGAGTTCAGCCCATCCATGAGGCTAATTTTCTGATAGATGAATTTTATCATAGCTGCTTGATCCATTTCCTCGTCGGCCATGGTATCGTCCTTCGCCGGTGAGGGCATGGTGGTTCTCTGCCCGTCGCTGCCCTCGCTACTGTCCTCCTGTAACGTGATTAGTGACCTTATAGGAGTGTTCTCGTTCTGTTTGGCTAGCTTATGTACCCCATCTGCGAGTTCCTTCACCGATTTTGGCGGGGTCTGCTGATGCCTCCCCTTCTTCTTGGCCATACGCCCGCGAAGAATTTCCTGGACAGATTAATATCTTCCAGGTGAACGCCTAAATCAGGTCAGGCACTCTGGCTGCCGACTGTCAGCTGACGATGTGCAGAGAACTGCTGGGGAATATGCGAAGAGAAATTGGTGAAGGAACTCGCAG